CTCAGGTGACAGCCCCACCCCTGTGGAAGATGCCTTGTCCTTTCCAACAGTGTCAGTGAATGGCATAGAAATCCACTTGTAGACCAACCCCATTTATAGTCCAGCACGTTAAGGTAAACAAGGAGCAGATTCACATACCATTCAGCCATCAGTGGTGGCAAGAAGGATGAGACAAGGGCAAAAGACATAGCACCTGAGTTACCATCCCACTTAATCCATCATTAAACATGCATAGAATCACAGAACAGTTTGGGTTGAAAGGGACCTCTAAAGGTCATCTACTCCAACCCCCCTGCCGTGGGCAGGGACACCTTCAACTAGATCAGGTTGCTCAGAGCCCCCTCCAACCTGACCTGGAATGTTTCCAGGGATGGGGCATCCACCACCTCTCTGGGCAACCCATGCCAGTGTTTCACCACCCTCAGCATAAAAAATTTCTTCCTCATATCTAGTCTAAATCTACCCCCCTTTAGTTTAAAGCCATTCCCCCTTGTCCTGTCGCAACAGGCCCTGCTAAAAAGTCTGCCGCCTTTTTTTTTATAAGCCTCCTTTAAGTACTGAAAGGCTGCAATAAGGTCTCCCCGAAGCCTTCTCTTCTCTAGGCTGAACAACCCCAACTCTCTCAGCCTTTCCCCATAGGAGAGGTGTTCCATCCCCCTGAGCATTTTCGTGGCACTCTTCTGGACCCGCTCCAACAGGTCCATGTCTTTCTTAGGCTGAGGGCTCCAGCGCTGGATGCAGTACTCCAGGTGGGGTCTCACCAGAGCAGAGTAGAGGGGCAGAATCACCTCCCTCGACCTGCTGGCCGCGCTTCTTTTCATGCAGCCCAGGATACGATTGGCCTTCTGGGCTGCGAGCGCACATTGCTGGCTCATGTCCAGCTTTCTATTCACCAGTACCCCCAAGTCCTTCTCGGCAGGGCTGCTCTCAATTCCTTCATCCCCAGCTTGTATTGATACCGGGGGTTGCCCCAACCCAGGTGCAGGACCTTGCACTTGGCCTTGTTAAACCTCATGAGGTTCACGCAGGCCATGAAGACCGTGTGACCATGATGCCATAAGCTTCACCACTCCTACCACTAGCAGTGGTGCCCAAAATTCAGTCATCCCCGCAACTTGTATCCTCTTACCCTCCAATGTGATTGGAATTGCTTTCTCCAAATATGTCAGCAAACCAGTTTACTAGGGCAATACTCAGCAATAGCTAATTTTGAGTGAATTGAATCTGCAGGCACCATCACTGAAAGAAAACGACACACAATCATCACAGGGACATGTATGTGATGTGCATCCCTAAACAGACTTACAACACATCATCAGCTTAGTTCTTTTTTTGCTAATGGTTTTGTATCTAAGCTACAATAAAAATGTCAATTCCAAAAGGATACGGTGCTTACTAACATGATTTCTCTAGCCCAGGGCAAACCCAATTGAATTATGTCATAAACTGCAGGAACAATATATATTCATACATCCAAGAAAGAGCAGCAAAACACTGTAACCAAATATGGACTGCTGCTTCTACACTGGGAGTCAGCTTGCACAGACATCAAAGCTTCATACCAAGTGCTGTTCTTCAGCATAGATAAATGCTGCTATCTGCTAGTCACACATCATCTAATAGTGGCAACAGTAATACATTATCTTCCTCTACTTTTGTTCGAATTCTTGGTCAGCGTCCAGAATTCCTTACCCCTGGATATCATCCTGTCATTGCTGGGTTCTGCTGGATAAACTGTACCTATCTCAGAATAGCACTTATGTCTTACAAAGGGGTCTTCTGGCAAAGAAGTGTACTGGGGCCTGTTAAACTGAGTTCTGTTGCTGATTCTGATACAGAGTTCAGAGATGCCACACAAATTATTGGAGGAGGGCACTGCCGTCTATATGAGAGAGAAGAAGACAAAGAGTTGGGAGATCAAACTACAAATCCCAACTCTGCCACTCTCTCATGCAGATAGCCTCTTACAGATTACAGTACCTTGTGAATAAAGCTGATCTGAGGAGACTGGATTCATCCCCAGATTTGACACACAACTCTTGTGCAACTCTTAAGCAGGTCACCTAAATTTCCAGACACTGGTCTCTCACTTCCACGGGAAGATGTTTCAGTAAAACTGGTTATGCTGTTTTGCAATTAGGTGGTGTTCTTTAACGAACCCTTAATAAACTAGCAAGGCTAATGTGCTGAATTCCTTGAGTTGTGATCCCTCGAAATGCAATTCTTCTTCCATACTATTAAGCATCTTACTACTACATCTTCAAGACAAGGAGGTGCCTTCGGTACAAGTAAAGACAAGTCATTTGAATACTTAAAAAAAGTTTTGCAAATACTGTAATGTCAACAATACACATCAGGCACACCAGCTTCCTGACACTGCTTCCAAAAGGGATAAAGCAGTAAGCGTGGTGAGGCTACCACAGGCAGGAGCTGTAGGCAAGGATAATTAGCAGATGGGGAGCAGAAGCCTTAGCAGATCACCTGGTCATGCACTACTACTAAAATTGCACTATTTACCAAAGGTGGAAAACAGGATGGAAGGAAAAAGAGTTTGTTTTTCATTTTGTTTGTGGATTACAGAGGAAGAGAAAAGGACTTATGATTATCATTGTCATAAATGACCACAGAGCTCACGCCCCTGTTCGGTGTATGGGACTTGCCCTAACCCATATAATGCATTCTAGACCAGGACTCCCAGACTTGCTTGCACTGCTACCACCATCTACCGTAGCAGCAGTAGAGGTTCTGCTAGTGATGACAACAGCAGCTCTTGACTTTCTGTTGAGCCAAAAAGCAAACACAGAAGAAAATGCATTTCCAGCTTCATCCCTCAGTTGGCTTGGACAAAGATTTGGGGATGCCTAACCCCAGTTCTCTGACCCTCAAGCTAATGCCAAGCTTTCGCACTGAATTTGAAATCAGTGTATTTGTCCTCCCCACAACAAGCTTGAAATAAAGCGTCAAGAAACTTGACAAAGTCTTCCACTATTGAAGACCTATAGCCTGCCACCTCCTTGTAAAATGACATACAGGTTCTCCTCATCAACCAAGTGCTTCAGGCACTATTTAAATCTGCAACACCATGAGCGCCCAGAGTGGTGAACAAGCTGTACAGCTTTGGACATAGCATCTCAAGCAGGATGGGAACCAACTGGGGAAAGTCAAGAAAAGATGAGTAGATCCAAGAAGCAGGACTCCCAAAGGAAGACTAAACTAGCAAGGATTTCTGAACCAAAAAAGAAGGACAGGGGATTTCTCTGACATGTTAAAGGCCATTTTAAGAAGGAAGACGATAGGTCTGTTCTCCCTATCTGTGGGGACAGGAGAAGCAAAGGGCTTAACTGCAGCAAGACATGTGGACATTAGTAATATTGTCTAATAGTAAGATAAGGAACCACAAGGAATGAACCAGATAAGGAGGTTGTGGAGTCCCCATTATTTAAGGCACTTAAGAATATCTTAAGCAGATATCCAACATAAATACTGGTGACCCCACTCTAGGGCAAAGGGAAGAATGAATTATATGATCTCTGGAGGACTCTTCTAATAATCCTCTCTCTGACACTTTGGGAAGTGAGTATAAGCACATGCAAGCAGGCTGCTAATGCAAGGTATGTATCTACATGATTCATCCAGCAAAGCTTGCCTAGACGTCTCAGGAAACCTCCTACTTTACCTGTCATGGAACCCCAGACCCATACACCCGCAGTTCCAAAAACACCCCTTCCAACCCACTCATCTCCTACAGACCCACAAAGTTCTTGGCTCAGAGTTATAAGTGATGCAATGACGATTGGTTCTCAATAAGTGATGCACAGGGTGAAAGATCTAGTAAGTGAGCATGGAGCTAAGCACCAAAAAATTACAACAGCAGACCAAGCAGATTAGAAACCACATGTAGAAACCACAGCCAGAGCCAGTAACTCAGAAGTTGCAAAACCAGCAGTGTTGGGTCATGAAGCATCAACCACAGGCTGAATATCACTCAAAAATGCCCCATAGACCATCAACGGAACATGATTTCTGAACCTGCAGAACACGATACTCAGTTATAAAGGTTTTCCCAAGAAGGAACCGTTTTTCAGAACCTTAGATTTACCTTTCCCATTTAGAATGCTTCAGTCTTTTTCCATTCCCGTCATGGAGTGTTTTGATTCTTAATAGTAGCAACCAATAATTTATCCCAGAGGAAATTTATCACTCTCCTGTGCTAAGAAATAGCATGAAATTTGGAGAACTGGCTTTGGCACTGGTGATTGATTACCAACTCACATAAAGGGCAAGTAGCTTCTTCATATTTTATTAATTTATCTGGATCTTTTTAAAACAAATTTCTACTTACCATTTTTCAAAAGTCCATTATAATAACAAATGCTATACATATCCCCATAGGAGCGTTTTTCAGGCTTCTTTGGGTGTGGTACAACTTGAAGTGTAAAATACAGAAATTTAAGAGAGAAAACCTCTCCAGGATGGCCTATAAAGATCAAGCAAACCTACATCGAGTGCAGTGGTGGATGCTGATGCCGACGCATTTCAGAGGTAAAAAAAAAATTACTCATTTCTCCTGCTATTTCTCTATTTCTTTGACTACTGAAAACACAATAAAACTAGTGTACTGACTCAATGACAAATGCTAGTTTCATAATTAGGGTGGAGCATGCAAGCAACTATAAAGGTTGCCCCAGTCTGAGACTCTCACTTCTGCTGGATATATTTGAAAGCTCTGGATTTTGAGTGAGGTAAGCATAACCTAAAGATATTGGGTGTTTCAAATCTTTGAACCTAACTTCAATTATTTTTTTTCTTGGTAGAGTTGATCCAGTTTTACAGGGGAAAAAAACAAACAAACCTTTTTTTCATCTAGGTTAAGTATTAATCATTTCACATGGTTAGTAAACCAATGAACAGGGTGTCAGATGTATTTCAAAATTCTGATGCACAGGATTGTTATTGTCTGCTTTGTTTGCAGTTATTCTTCAAGACAACATCTGAGAAACATGGAACATTTACTCAGTGATAACCTTCTGAAGTATTTTACCCAGTATGCTTTAATGGAGGGTAGCACCAGTGCACTGTCCATCGGTGGGCTGAAAAATCTACTTCAGAATCAATTCGCACAGTACCTAAAGGTAAGTTTCACTCTTATTATATTCACTGTGCTTCCTGTGAAATGGATAGGAAAAAGGAAAAGGAAATACAGGCAATGATGTTGCAAGGCAGATTATTGTGCCCAAATGGTTTCACTGACTCCATAAATAATCCTTAAATAAGGGTCATCTGATAAAACTTCATTCACATTAATGAACAGTAGCTCCAAACAGATATCTGAGTAGGCAGTTTATAACAAAGCCCTATGAAATAAAATGCAAAAATCTAAGAAGCTGTTTTGTTTGGGTTTTTTTTATGTAAGCCGAATTTCACCTAGAAAATTGCATCTGAGTCTTATAAAATATTTTTTGTTTCAGTCTAAATAATAAATCTTGAATCTAGAAAATATATAGAAAAATCTATAAACCAAGAAAATCAGTAGGACAAATTTAAAAGTAAGAGACATGAGCCAATTTCTATCTAGGTTAAGTTCCCACCATCACAAAATAAAAGAAGTTTTGCCATTCCAGAAAGATGCCAAGTAAAGAAAAGAGATGCCACCAAGCTAGAGAGAGAAATACCCATTTCCTGTAGCTGGAAAAAATCTAGGTTCTGATTTCATATCTATTCTCTGCCAGACCTTTCCTGAACTGGATTAGTACTCAATTTAGATTCTTTTGCTAGACAAACCCTTAAATACTGTGTTTTGGATAGCTGACAAAAGCAACTTTTGCTAAAGGTCTGAAAGAAGTTGCACCTCAATAGAATAATCCAGTATTTTAAGAACTACAGTAATCCATTTTAGTCATTTCATTAACATGAAGTGGCTAATTAAAAAAAAACCCCACACTAATAAAACAGAAAGGTGTTTTTCCCTTAAAAAACATGTCAGAAATTAACTGCCAAAAATTAATAGGACATGTGACAGCAAACTCAGAAATATAATGCTTTTTATATTAGCTGTAGACAATTTAGCACCATACCCATTTTCCCAGATAGGAGGAAATTGAAGTATTCAGGAAAAGCAATACTGATGTTTTCTGTCTGGATAGCAGACATTTTCAGGCATCTACTCTGTTTGCAGAAATATATGGCACCATAATAAATCAACATAAAAGCAGGACAGGACATTACAAAACATGCGTAGACATAAAGTATGAAGAAAGAAAACATTCTAAAAATTTAAATTATAAATTGGGTTTATATTATTTAACTAGCCTGATCAGGGATATTATCAGAATACTCACTGCATCAGGATGTTACATGCACTATATTACCAGACTTGACAAATAAAAGGAGCTAATAATCTAAACTAGATTTAATACATTAGCAAGAATTTTTCAACAGTGAATATGGTATTCCTAGTAAAAATGGGAAGAGGGGAGTGAAAAAGCCCCTCAGGTCCTCGTCCAAAGTCTAATGAAAGTAGCAAAACGTTTTCAAATAGTCTATGCAGGGCCCAAATTAGTACCTAATAAAGCAGTAGGTGGTATACACATTAATTTTTATTGGCAACTATGTACATGCTGCAGCTATTCCACCTGCTCCATTTCCTAAATTCCAAATGTACCCACAAGACTGAAGTTACCTGTCTGAATAATACTTGATACTTCTCAAATGGTTATCGTATCTTTGTCAACATTTTTGGCAGGGAATAGCAGGCATTGTATTTCTAGTTTAACCAGAAAAACTGGTAAATACACTACCAGTAACACCTTCAAGTAACACTGACTGCATCACTTCTTGGCAATATTCCTCACAGGAAAATAGTCATGGCAATCTATTTATTTCTTTTTTTTTTTTTTAATTCTTTTCCTATAAAAACAGGATTCATTCTCACTTGATAACATAATTAAATCGTTGGACAAAAATAATGATGGAAGTGTCAGCTTTGATGAGTTTGTGGTGCTTATAAAAAAGATAACTGGTACAGGACAATAAGGCATCTGCAAGAATGAATATCACTGCTTTGAAGAGGAGGAGCCTGGTGGTCATGTACATTGTATGTACACCTAAACCCACAGATTTGTTACAATTTTAAAACGTACAGAATAAAGATCTGACATATAACGAAGTATGTCTTGTATTGTGTTTCCTGCACATTCGCTAGCCGCGCTTCCCAGCTAAGCTGCCTCACAATTATTTCAGAACTACCTGTTTCTATTTCACTCTACATTTGAGAAAGTGTCATTTAACAAACCCTGTTTTACCTGAGCTATTATTTTGACCTCCAGAGCAATTCAAATCAAAAGGTTTCTAAAACACACAAAAGGGAAGATGTGACAATACTATCCAATACTTCTCCCAGTTGAGTTTCATCATCCACGTAAGGCGGCACTTCCAGACAGTAAACAGTTCAAATTTTTAAAACATAAAGTAGTTATTTTCAATAACAATCTAACAGTGCTAAGTATGAGTGTAACATTACATGTTCATTTTAAATTATATTTACATAAGTATGTACTTTTTTTGATATGACTCTTGTAAATGGGAATACATAAGTATTTATAGGAACTGAGCGATTGCTGTTGCAATTAAAACATACATTACATTGATTTGGTGCAGTTTTAACCTTTTCATTGCATGATTTCCTGTGACATATGTACTTCCACACATGTAATTCATGGGCATTATTATTTACTTTAAGAGGAAATTAGTGAAAAAGAAGAGAATATAAGAATGGAAATTTTGAAGACAATTCAGTGGATTAGGCACTAATCCTACTAGAGAACTTGGAATTTTGGACTGAATTTTAACACCAACATCATCCATTATCCTGATAAATCAGTTAAATCTCAGAGTTACTTAAGGACTTAAAGACTCAGCTTAATTGCAAAGCCTATCAAGTGCATTCAAGATCCCATACTACAGTGGTTCCTATCCCTGAATTTCCTGTCCATGAAATGAGGAATAAAGTACTCCACACCAGTGATGCATGAATAGAAGCCTCAAAAATGATGATATTTAAACATGATATGAATGTTCTAACAGGCTCCTGGGCCATTCTTTTACACAAACCCTTCAGTTGTTAAAATGTGTTATGTTTCTTGGAAGCAAAGACAAGAAAATCATAATATTTATTACTTTTTTCTGGTTTATGAAAAAAAATTATTCTAAATTAACAATATGCTTTGGTTTCAAAACTAAACATACCCCACACACATCTCCTTACTAAGCTACGTTAGCTACTTTACACACAGAGTAAAATCACAGAGTTTTAAGAGGTGCTTTTGCACGAGTGGGACATATGTTCGTTTTCATCTCTTAGACAACCTTAGAAACTTTTTAATTCAGTCAGGTTACTGATATCCTGAATAGGAAAAGTGGGCATCAAGAAACAAACATGTTATAAGAGTGTCACCTACTGGCAAAATATATTTCTGCACAATTTATTGAGTTCCTATTATTTTACCCAGTGCAGTATCTGAAGTTTCATGATCCTACACAAGATGCAATAGGACATGAAGAACAGCGGTCACAATTAAAATTAGCTTTTTTAAATAAAAAAAAAAGAAGTGCATTAGAATTATTTCTGGAAAGAGTCTTCCCCCACCCCACCCCCCCCAATGCATTTGCAATAAAATTGATGAAGAACATAATTAAAAGGCTCATCCAAAAAGAAAAAAAATCTAACTTTAATAGTAGAGGAAGACAAGGGATATAGAACAAAACAAATAACTCTTTTGCCATCCAGTGAATCCAGTTCATTAGCAGCTCACAGACTACAGAGTTTCCCTTTAAAGGAATTAATTTTAAAATTATCGTTTGCAACAGAAAACCCATGCTAATCACTACTCTCAAGCAAATGCATTACTTTTCTGAACAGCTATCTTCCTGCAAAGAACAATAACAATTTACCTGTCATTATTATCCAAAAGGCTAGAAAGTAAAGCAGAAAGCTTAAGAATATATGATGGGAACATAACCTGCAAATAATAAACGAAGATGAGATCAAGGACTCGAGGGACTGTAATCAGTGCTCGTGTACCTACCTCATTTTCCCTACTGAAATCAAACCCATGTTAAAGGGGAACCGAAGCCAAAACCTTAAAGTGATATTTTGACAGTGTAAATGGTATGGTCTGGTGAATACAGATAACTGCCATATCAGAGGTTTTTTGGGTTTTTTTCTTCAGAGTACACATTTGTAACTTAAGCCTAAATGAAAATATCTAATAGCAACTTAAAATCTCTCAAACACAGCTAATAAATCACAGCTTATTAAAAATTTCAAATTCTAGGTCTCATTTCCTTCAAGTTTTCATCACAGATATTCAGCTTTAGGGATTTTTTCCCCCCCTACAGTACTTTAAAAACACAATTTTGCCTGTTTTACATTATTAAGTCATTAACTTCCATTTTTTGTATTCAGAGGCTACTATTTTTTCCAAGGTATTTGAAATCTTAACTCTACAATACTTGCAGTCATTTACACGCTAATATAATTGATATCAATATTCCCCAAAACAAGCAATAGAGGGTTATACAGCGTTTCCCTCCTATATAAAGTTACTGATGGGTGCTTTTGCAGAACCCAGGTTGAGCAACATTGTTGTAATGATAGTCAGTAGAAATAGATGAACAGCTAAAATGAAACAGATATTCAGCATTGCAGGCAACTCTCTACATTTGCACATTCAGTTATGCATACGTTATTGTTCAAAACAGAACAAGTCACAATTGCCTCATCACATAAAAACCTTTTATGATGCTCAAAACTTTTTATTAATGCAGACAATGCTCTTCTATAGTACAATAACTTGTGTTATTTTAATTGAGAGACAGTTGCCAGTAATATAATTTCTCATTATTTCAGCCACCTGTTTTTCCTTTGGAAGCCTAATTGTGAGTTACATGTTTACTTGACAATCTCAGTTTTTATTTCTAATAAAAAAGGTTCAAATTTCCATTGATGCTGACAAAAGGAAAGCAAAGTAGCCCAAGATACTTTATATGCACTTTAGAAGAAACTATTAACTTTGGTGAGTACAGTTCTGAGTATTTGAGCGCTTAGCAAATTAAGAAGGGATATAAGTAGCTGCATATTTTATGGTTGCCCCTGAGTTCCCCTGCCAAACTACAGATTTGAACTTTTGTCTTTTTTCCTCCTTCTCAAAGATTAAAGGAAATAGAACTACTGCCTCACCAGTGCCTTTCTTCTCCCTCTTCAGTTTCCAAACGAACAGGAACCAAAAGAAAAGTACACTGCTTTGGTCCTAAGTTAGCACTCAGTTGAACGACACAGTGGCATCACAAGATATTATCAGTGCTGATACAGTGTTTCCAATTAACTTTCTTGGATAATGAAACATCTACATCAGTAGTTCACAAGCTTCGCTAATCTGCTTCTCTTCCAATTGTCTTTATTGATTTGTTATTATATAGAATATCTAAACAGTTTTTAGCACAAGATGGACTCTGCTAAGACAGATTATTTAGCAGTTATAATTATCGATAGTGCAAATTTCCCCCTTGGAATGATTTACATCTGTTTCTTGCCCAGAACTGAGATGTCAAAGATCAGATTAAGATGCTGAAATATGACTGGTAACAACCAATTTCAGAACCTTAACGTAGCTCAGAACAAAAGAATATCCATTATACAGACTGCAAGCATACTGCTTCAATTGTAAACACTGTATTAATCTTCTATGACACATATATTCACTCCATTATTTTCTTAATTTTATGTCTGCATAATTTTCTCTAACATATATACCTTACTTGCCCTTGAATGTAAACTGCAAATCACTTAATTACTTGTGGAATAAAATTTTGTCCTAGATACACTGTACTAATACACACTACAATTTCTGTAATAGTAGAAACTGCCAGTAGGGCTGCAGCAGACAAGCATCCATGTTCCTCACTTCAGCTAAGTGTGGAGCTCTGCATCAGAGCCAGCTACTGTGAACAACCCTTAGAATAACGGAGAGAAACCAGCAGTTCCACAGGGTGACTCACCCCCTCCTGATGATCTGACTGCATCCTGAAAAGGTACCTGAGGTGACTAGCTGAAACGCAGTCATGAGAAGTTAAATAAAACTGGCACTAAAAAGCTCAAGAAACAAAGATGCCCCAGAATCAGTCTCCCATACTCTTGCTTCCAAAAAAATTTACAGTATGCTTTCAACATCTTTCACATTTTACAACATACTGCTATTATGAAATTGATCCCTCCAGAGAAAGAGTATGTCTTTGCATACATTCAAGAAGGGTGAAGGAAGAGACCTCTTACTACAGCAAACCCATAAATTTGATGTCAAATGCAAAGTTTACTTTTGTTCACCTGAGGACATTTCCAAACACCACCAAGTTTTAGCAGCAAGTCTCACACTGAAACTCTGAAGGTCTCTAATTTACCTTCAAAAGTTCAGACTAGATTATCTCTCCTATGCATATAAACAACCTTGACAAACAGGTCAAATGCTTTAAAAAACTCCTATTTGCATGTTTCAGACTAAGCAGGTGTGGAAAAAATGTATTTTACTCACAAATCCCAACAAAACTCTTTTGAAGGAAATTGATACAGAAACAGCAGGTCACTATGAGCAACCCACTTAATTTATCACTAGAACAGATATTTACATCTTACACCAAGATACTACTTTATTTCTCACATGTAGTTTTCTGTTCTTTTTCATTTTCTTACAAACTGTCTCTTACTGATCATTTTTAAGTTTTATTATTATGACAATGTGATACCATACTCTCCTGAACTAGGAGATACCTGGAAAAACTCCACTCTAAAATTCTACCATTGGCATATGATAGAGAGCTCTGTCATATCTACAACACCGAAATTTTTCTCAAAAGGAGGACTGTGAGAGGCATGGGGGAGGAGGGGTGTAGTGGTTATTTATACTATTTATGTAAAGGAAAGACAAGAATTTTTCAACAGCTTTCCATATAATCCTTATCCTTTTATTGAATCATAGAAT